GTGCATGTGAAATAATACAGCAACCTTTGCTAAACTTTGTTGCTCTATAAACCTGCTGCTTTCTAAGTTGAAAGAAAAATGTGCTCTTGGATTGAGTTTACGCACAATGAGAATCAAGTTTCCCAGCAATTTCTTGTTTGCCAAGATGTAATGGGCCCACACACATAGGTACAAAAGAAGCTCTTCTCCTCCTGAATACATGAAAACCTCCACTTACACACGGTTCCACCAAGCAATCAATGTCTGCGTTCATTAAAAAAAAAAAAAAAAGGAGGATGTGGTTTGCCCTTTTTTCTATTCTACCTGCCAACATCCTTCTCCTGGTAAAGTGGGCACACATCACAGCATATATTAGGCTGCTATAAGGGAATTTTGCTGCCTTAATGCAACTCTTCTAACTTTCACCATCCCCTGATGCTGGAGCAAAATGAACCCTGCCTTTCCAGGAATCTCTTTCTGAATTTGGGACTTGATTAGGGCACATCTGCAATATTTATTTATTTATTTATTTGTGAATTTATATGCCCCCAGTAACTTCCAATGCCTTCCTGGGGAGCTTACAACACATGAAAAATATGAACAAAGTAAAACACATTGAAACCAATTAAAACACAATGAATTAAAACTTCTATAAAAGCAATGTAAAAAGGGCCACAGCATTCAGGCTAAGTGTTAAAAAACTTCTTTAAAAGGTATGTCTTTTCCCAGTGCTGAAAGGAAAATAAAGATGGTGCCAGGCTAATTTCTCTAGGGAGGGAGTTCCAAAGATGAGGAGCAGCACTGGGAATGGCCCTTTGCCTTGATGCCACCCCTCTCATCTCCCTGAGGTGTGGTTCTTATAGAAGGGCCTCCTGAGCTGATCTAAGGGAGCAGGTAGATATAAATGGGAGCAGACAGTCCTTTAGATAGCCAAGCCCCAAGCCTTTGTGAAATAATGGAAAAAAATTGAAAATGATTCAGATGGAAATGCAGAAAAGTTTTAAAATTAAGTTTCCCATGAGTCACAAGAATATGCTTCAGCATATAGTGCGGGAGAACTTTTCAAAGACTTAGTCAGAGCTATATAAGTATATGACAATTGCAAGTATATCACAATTGCCTCTAAA